CGGAGCCGCCGTCCGAGCCCGGAACGCGCTCCGGTGCCGCGGCGGAGCGGCAGATGGCCGGGCAACCAGGCACACTGAGTGGGACTCGGAGATCTAGGTTTGTTTTCCAGGCTTGTCACAGATTACTCATGTGATCTCGAGAAAGTCACTGCATCTCTTTGCGGCCAAGTTCACAGTCTACGTATCCTACAGTCACATACCCAAGTCTGCATCTGTGCTTTTCTTCATATCCTTCTGAAGTTTTTTGGTCTGATCTTCCAATCTGAAAGAAGGAAGAAGAAGGCGAGCTCTGAGCATTGTAAAGAAACAACCCAAAATGTACTAGATACGTGACAATTCGTGTAGATGCTGTTGTGAATAAACGCATCCACGAGGCCTAAGCTTTCCAGGTTGCTTTCCAATGTCTTCCCACCTTTCAGGTTGTTGACCTGTTATTCTAAGAAGTCACATATTTACTTAGATCCTTTCACTTATTACAAATGCTATAGCCAAATGCTTCCAGATGATAACTAAGAGCCCATATGACCCAGTCAGTATGGTGAAACCAATATTTGCCCTCAGAAGTGTTGAACTGCTCAGTGATCCACTGTATTCCATGGATTTTGTGTTCCCAACAGCTGTCATACCCTCAAACCCCCTGCAGATGCTTTTCAGGTCACCTTTGAACACCCACCAACGAAAGAAACCCTGAATAGTTAGAAATACAGAGCAGCAATATTTGCTAGGAAGAGTGTAACCGGCCAAAACTTCCTGGGAAGACGGGCAGCAGCTGGGAATGTGACTAGGGATGCGATGGCCTTGTCTTCCCGGGATAGCAACACTTACTGCTGGAGCTTTCCATATTCCCTCTCAAAGTCCCTCTCCACCTGCGGAAAGAAGAGATCAAATCAGCATCCAACCACAACAGAGCCGTGCAAGGAAACTCGCTCTTGGAAAATGCTGCAGGAACCCGGAGGAGCCATGAAAAGCCTGGAAAAGGAGAGCTCGTCCCTCTCCGGTGTTACAGCAGCGACTACTTCCTCCTACTTGCTATCTGGCAGCGAGTCTCCAGCGATACGAGATATTTTAGGGAATCTTCCCTCCACGCTGGCTGTTTTAACACACACTTAAACATTCATCCACACCTCGCCGACCAAATCAGCAAACGGATTTCTATTGACTGGCCAAGAGTAAATACAGGCGCTTTTGTTGTCATGGGATCAAAGCTGGGTTCGGTTGGGTTGTCAAGCTACCGTGCTATTAAGGAGAGGCTGAAGCGTTATAAGAAGCCAGGACTGGAAGGATCCAAAGGATTATTCCAAATCTCCACGCTGTCCTCGGCATTTCAATCCCAGGCTCAATGCAACACCAGTATGTGAAGCACAAACACTTCATGTTGACATTTGCTTTTCACTCAAAATTGCTATTAAAAGACCAACATTTTAAGATGGAGCCCAGTATCTGGGTTTTCTTGAAACTCCCTTTCCTAAGTCCCATTCCGGGCTGCCCTTTCCAACACGCTCCCCGTGTCCATGGGTCCAGCGAGTTCCCCATGGGCAGCTGTCCGCACCATCAGCTCCCACCATCCTAGGGATGCGAGCTGGCCTCCCTGCTGATGAAAAAGCTCTGCAGAGCCCCAACTCCCTTTCTTGCTGCTAAAAATGGGCCTGGAGAACGGGCAGGACGCAGTGTGGGGGCAGCGCACGCGGTCCTGCCCGCTCCGCAGCTCGGCACAGATCCGCAGCAGCTGGTGCCGCGAGGTCAGGTAGCCGGCACATAGTAAAAAATCACCCCATATTTCTGTGGCTGTTCCGGCTGCAAAAATAACCGCCCAGTATTGCGTTCTATTTATATGTCTAAGTGTGAATTGTTTTGGTTGCAAACCACAGCGGGTCGAGCACGACTCAGAAATATGTCCTTTGAAGGCTGGTGGCATCCTTGCCCTGACACGGAGCCCTCGGAGCGCAGGAGGCTCCGCGTTCGCTTCCTCGGAGAACCAGAGGTTCTGGGGGTGAAATGTGGCTGTCTACAAACCTCCTCGGTGCCTGCACACTCCCTAAGTTCCTCAATTCCTCTTTCCTGCACAATTCCAGGGATAAGGGCACCACGGCTTAATGGAAGACGTAGCTTTTACGCCCGGCCTTGGGACGTTTCCAAGATTCCCCGAGGTATCCGCTTTTCCCGAGCACTTTCTGCACCCGAACGAGGTGAATCCAACGAGGCAGCGCTCGAGCTGCCCGGCCTGACTCACATCCCAGCGCCATCCATGCAGGGACAGCTGCCCGAGGATTGCTCTTTATTTTTCACGCCCACAACAGCAACTGGCTCCCCGTCGCCACCGTGTCCTGCTCCGCGCGGGCACCGCGGGGCACCCGGAGCCCAAGCAGGGATCCCGATGCTGGAGCTGCTCTCAGGCCCCGTGCCACGGGAAAGGTGACAAGCCGGGGACCCCGGAAGGTGACAAGCGGTGGCATCAAAGCACACGGAGCGAGCAAGGAGGATGAGCCAGCCAAGCACATTTTGCAGAGCACGCTAATTCCCAGTAGCTATCATCAATGGCCACACGTATCTGACACTTACGGCAAAAGGCTATGGATAGGATTATCACATTAAGAATGATGAGAACAAGAAGTACAGGCAAGAAAATTATAATATCCTTAAGGGAAGTTTCCGTAATATTAAAATAATCCCACTTCTCTGCAGTCTCTTTCTGAAAGCTGAAATTCAAAATGTGTTTCTGCATCGAACGCTTTTTCTCCTAGGCATATGGGTTAGTTAATGTAGGATTGCTCTTCTACGGCTTTTTATTTAAACCTACAAAAAGAATGATGACTTTTAAAGAGCGCTGAAATAAAATCACGACCATCTTTTTCACCCACTTATTTTTGTTTGCAAACACGGGGCCTTCCACCTGTGCTAACGTCCTACCTTCTTTAAGGGTGATATAATAAACACCATGGTTACAAGGGGAGGAAGCAAGACCAAAGGCAACGCTGCAAAGAGATGGAGGAAGGAGCTGTGAGGAACCTCCTTATCCCCCTGGGGTCCCTGTCTTTCCCGGGTTCCACATGTGCCCGTGCTCTTGGGGAATAGGGAAGCAGCAAAGCCCCCCGTTCCCAAGGGAGCATCCGAGCGGATGTGAAATGGCAACGGGGAGAGCGGGGTGAAGCCCTTTCCAACGGGGCTCCGGCCGCGCTCCTGCCTTTCCCGTTTCCCAGCCACCTGCCGCCTCGGATAACGCGGGCCCGGCTGAAGAGCAGGGCACAACCTCGGGCTGACAGCGGTGAACTCCGGGGCCGCGGAGCTGCTCCCGGCCTAACCCCGGCTCGGAGCGGGGTGAACCGGCATCTCCTCCGTCGGAGGCTTCGGCTGCGCCGGGATTGGAGCGCTGCGATTCCAGCGGCTTCGCCTCCCATCGCCGGGCATTAGTTTAATTGGGCTGTGCCAGCGCGGCTCCGCGCGGCGCATGAGGGCCCCCCCGGCCACGCGCCCCGGTGGCAGCCGGTGACAGCTGCTCTTTTCAGGGGAGAGCAGGGGACAGATTACGCCGTCTGCAATTGGATTTGCCCAGGTTAAGGTGGAAGCTGCGGGGGGAGATCACCCCGCTTCACCGGCCCGGCTTTCCTGCGGGATTCCCGGCTACCTGTGGCGCGGAGCCGTGGATTTCTCCTTCCCGTTCCTACGGGGTGATCCCTGTGGGCCGCTTCCCGCTTCCCTTGGGGCTTCCTGCCGCCCAGAGAACGTCACCAGCACCAAGAAATGGCAAGTGGGGCCATTCCACAACTAGCCCGCGGCTCCCAGCGAGCCGCTGACACAGGGACATGTTCTGCTTTGGGGCGCTGAGGAAAAGGGGGAAGGAATGAAGGAAGGAGAGGGAAAAGGCCTGGAACCGCTCGCGCTCCCGAATGAGCCTCTCCCTGCCGAATATTCTGAGCTCTTCTATTTAATGCACACACATATATATAAAGCAATCCCTGTCAACAAGTGCCTGGGAGCGGCTGCTCGCCGCGGTGCAGCTCCGGAGCCGTCTCCGCTGCCCGACGGGAAGGCCGATCCGGATGGCAGCGAGCCGGGCACCGGGCACCCTCTCCCGCATGGAGGTTGCCCAAGCGAGCGCTTCCCAGCAGCAAACGGCAGCAGCAGCAGCGGGAAATTAGCAGGCACTGGCAAAGGAAAGAGGAGAGCGAATTTGGATGTGAGAACTGGTGGGATGGAGACGTCCAAGAAAGCTGTTCGAGACACCCGAGCGGCAGAGCAGGTGGTTCTTGCAACAGCCTGGAAGGACGGCAGTGCTAGGAAGCAAAGGAAAGAGAGGAAAAATCCCGGGGGTCGCTAGGACGAGGCACCACGAGCGACCCAGAGGCGCCGGAGCCGCCGGGGATGCATCGCTCTCCGTTGGGAATTGCCAAGGCCCTGCTAAAAGGGCAGCTCGGAGAGGCAAAAACCACGAGGGGGTTTTCAGCACGACTTCATCGCGTGCCTGGGTTCGATTTCGTGCTGCCGTGGAGCTGTCACAGAAAATCGCCGCTCGGCAGCGGCACCAACTGCAAAATGCTGCAAAATAAAGCAGGAGCCACAGAGGGAGCGTCCCGGGGGAAAATGTCATGTCCCAAGGAGAAACTGCCCACACACCCGGAGGAATTAGCGGCGATGAGCGTCCCAGCGAGGAAGGATCAGGGATGTTAGTCTGTTCAGGGGATTAGGTCACCAGGGCCGTTATAAAGACCAGGCACCTATTTTAGGGCAGGTGGACAGGTTGGTGCTCGGGGGCAGGACCCCTCGGCCTGTTTGCGCGGGCCCAAGGCAAGGAGCATCTGCTCCAAAAACAGGGAAAACACCGCAGCCAGCTGCAGGGAGCGGCACTTAGGAGTCTCGAATACATGAGAATACAAAATGCTTTTTTAATTTGCTTTTAAAGCAAATGCTGTGCAGCACAAATTAATTCACGCCCGAGCACTAAGCATCTCAGCTTATAAGCCTTTCTTTGGAAACAGTTATATTCAGCGATCTGAACCACTCCTCCTCCTCCATCTGCTCCGAAAGGCTGAACAAACAAGCCATTGCTGCGGGAAGGAAGGAAGGAAGGAAGCCCGTGCAGCCATCTCCCAGGAAAACCGTGCCAGAGCCGGAGAGCTCTGGAGTTCCTTGCAAGGAACGGATCCCGGCCCAAAATCCGTGCTCCGGCTGGGACTCCCGGCACGGGGAGCGGAGCGCTGGTCAAAGGCAGCAACAGGTTGTGCTGGCGCCCATGGCCCTCCCACGCGCGCACACGCGCGCTCGCGAAACGGGGCGAGTCAAAGTGCTGCCTTGACTCATCAGCCACATGATCAAAGGCTGGAGCTAAAAAAGGGGGAATCGGTTTACTCACTGTCTTGGGTACAATCTGTTTCTTGGGCTGCCCGATCTTGAACGGGATCCTGGAAAAGAGGGGAGGGAGAGAGAAGGGAACGTGTGAGCGAGCGGAGCCGGCGGCAGCCGTGGGGAAGGACCACGATGGATGGGAAGGGGCTGCCGGGATGGGATCGGGAGCATCCTGGCACCCTTTTGGGAAGCACGGCTCCCCCTCAGGACCCACTTAGCCCGGCCCCTATTCCCTATTCCCTATTCCCTTCCCTGCACAACAAGGATGCTCCAGGCATCCCTCGGCAGAGCACGCGCCTGAAGAACACGCTGTGTTTAGAAACAAATCCGAAGGGGAGGGAAAAAAAAAAACCCACCAAAACACAAACCCTGTAAATATTTAGAAAGAGGATATTAAAAAAAGTAACAGCCTGAGTGTCTGGAGCCGCGAGCTGCTTCAAAGGATTTCTCCAATGCAACAGCTGTAGGATCGGCTCACCTGGCAGCAGCACAGGCTTCATTCTTAAAATCTCTAATATGGTTGTTAGCAAAATCTGGGTTACCTAAATTATTTTCCCTGCACGAGCTAGCTCAAAGGTGAAGAGTACTCCAAACAAATTACACAACGGATGCGAGGTTGGCTCGGTCGGGCTGGAGCCGCCGCGCAGCCTCCCTGCAAATAATTGCATTTCTTTGGCTTGTCGGTGTAATAAAAATCCAGGAATTCAGCTGCTGCTTTCAGGGTATTTGGTTAAGCTAGAGAGGGGCCGCTGGGTTAAATAGCTCCGAAATCTCACGGTGTCATCGCGCTTCGGCTACCGGGAATATTTGGTCACACCGGGAGCTGCACCGAGGCTCTTTTTGGAGGCTGCCGCATTCCCGGGATGCAGCGCTTGCGGAAGAGCACCCTGCACATGGGAACTGCTGCACCGGTGATCCCGCATCCCCCTGAAATCCCATGATTGGGGCATCCGGACGGCACGCGCTCCGCTCCGTCCCTCGCGCGCTGTTTTCCAACGGTGCAATTAGCCACCAATAATAAACCCGGCCGGCGAGCCAGGCCTGCCGGCGGAGCCTTAGTCACGGCGGTTGAACTCCGAATTTCGGGAGAGCTTCCTGTTTATTGTCCTGCAGCTCCGGGAGATAATTGGAGGCCGTTAACCCTTGGCGGCGCGGCGGCCGGCCCCGTGATTCACGCTCCTTCTATAAACACGCCGCCTGCAGTATAATTACGCTGGGTGTGGGGAGCCTTGCAGGAAGAAAGCAGAAAACCAGCGGATTTTGCTTCCTCGATGTTTTCCTACGCGGGGCAAATATAACCCAAAATGAGGTCAGCGCCTCCGCGCGCCAGGCCCGGATGGATGCGAGCGGCGCGGGAGCTCCCGGGAAAAGGAGGATCCCTCACCGGAGCTGGGCTTGGGAATGCGCCAGGAGGAGGGAGCCGCGGGCCGGGCGGCTAACGGGATGCGCCGGCGGCTGATCCAGCAGCCCGGAGCATCCCGGCTCGGCGGCGCCGGAGAGACCCCCGGGTGGCACCAGGGGAAGGGCCCCCACAGCACCCACCATCCCAGCCGCATCCGTAGCTCCCGATGCCACCGGGAGCCACCCGGGATGCAGGGCGAGCGCTGCCAACGCGACCGGCCCGGCCGGCTCCGGTGGCTCCCTCTTCCCTGCACATTCCCGGGATGTTGACGCAACCAAGGGCACAGCGGGCTGGGACGGCCTTCCCGGCTCCTCTCTATTGCAGAGCGATGAGAAAAATACACATATATATATAAAATCTCATCCACTTTCTTCCAGAACAAAAGAAAGTCAATAGAGCGCTTAACAAAGCCACAAATACACTTTGAAACAGTAAATATCTCTATTAGCATCGTGATGCCAGTTGGCTAATTATGTCTGTCTCGGTAAAACCTCTAAAAAATAACCCTGTGCAAGTACTGTCTATTCACCATTTTTTTTTCCTTCTTGCTATTTTACAATTTGAGATAATCTTCCTGGTTTCTGAATCTTTGCCTTTTAATACGGTTCTGCGACGGGGAAAAAAAAAAAAAAAGCATAAGCAGGAACAAAAGCACTAAAGAAGGAAAAAAAAGAGGCAGTGATCTTATCTGCAATGTTAGGAGTGGATGTAAGCAAAGCTCTGAAATGCAAGTGCTGGATGCCGCGGGCATCGGTTTTGGTCCCTCTGCGACTCCGTGTGTGTCCCGGGACACAACCCGGGAAGGGCACCAAAGCCGAGGGCGCCGCGTTGGGAAGCGGCCGGTGGCAGAAGCCACAGGTTGGCACTTGTGGAAGGAAACGGGAGGGTTGGAGCGTCGCCCGCGACGGGCTGGGGATGCGGCGCAGGCCCCGGGGTCGTCGTTACCTCCCAACGGCCCCGCGTGGGCGCAGGGAGGGCGCGCGGGGGGGTCTCTGCTTCCTGCTGGGATGAGCTCCCGCTCCGGAGCTCCCGGCTGCGCTCCGGCACCGGGAAAGTCCCCGGGCGCCCAGCCCGAGTGGGAAAACACAGAGGTGGACGGGAGGAGGAGGGTGAAGCCCCTAAGGAGGGGGTGGGAAGAGCCTAAAGCAGGAACGAGCGCGTGGGCGCGCGGGCTCGGGATGTGCCGGGAGCCCCGCGAGGGGAGCCGGGAGAAGCCGGATTTGCTCCCAAGTTCCCCCGGCGATGCCACTTTTTTCCTTGCCTTTTCCCGGCAGCCCAAGGGGCTGCTGCTCCTTGGGGTCCACAGGGAAACGCGGCGCGCGCCGGAGCGGCGCACGTCCCATCGGGAACGGGGACCCCCCTGCTCCCGCCTGGGCTCGGCCTCCGTCCCGGGTGATCCCGAGGCCGGAGCACGCGGAGGCGCCGGCGCTTTCATCCCGCTCCCGGGGCTCCGAAGGCCGCTCGGAGACGGAGAGGGAGGCGCTCGCGGGCGGCAAGCGGGGCCCGCGGGGGCACGAGCCTGGACGGG